TGATTACCTTAGTAGCAGAGTGGGATATGTGCTAGAAAGATGTGAGATCTGTTTTTTTTTCAAGACTCTGCTCCTAAGGTCACCTCTCTCTGATATCTTTTATGACCTGTTCTTGTCTATGCATCCTAGGAAGAGCCAATTGTTCCCTCTTGATATATACTCATTTATAGTACCTATCACGGTGTATTTTTTTAAATTTAATTTGTACATTTCTGTCTCTGAGCAGCCTCTGGGATTTCTGAAGGCATAGAATTTATATTCTTCCTTTTTAAGCAGTATTTTAAGGGTCATTATTATAAATTAAATGGGAATTTAATATGCTTCTATGGAGAACCTATTGGGTCCCAAACAGCAGCAACTGGAATATAGAAGGTGCTCCATAAATCTTACCGATTTGCATTTAATTGATGCTTACATTAAAGACCTTCGAAAACTCTTTCACAGTTTTGATGATCCACCCACATCAGATAATTGAGTTCATCCCACCCAGAAAGTTAGTACTTAGTAACAAATATTTAACAGGTCATTATTTATTTATTATCTTAAATATGTGACAAACATTTTATTCGACTGCCACCAGATTATCAGTAAAACATTTGAATTTCCTTTGTTTAGTGTTTGGATAAAATTTGTTTATCCAAACTAAATTTGATTTAGGGTTGGCTTCTCTTAAAAGCATCAATTGGTGTATAGACTTCAATAATAATAATAATTAATAATAATAATAATAATAATAATAATAATAATAATAATAATTTCCAATGTAGGTGGAAAGACCAGCTAAAGGTTTTTTAGATTGGTGAACAAGCTTCTGAATGTATTGGTAAATGGTGGGAAGTTAGGGGAAGGTAAAGTTCCCAGAAACATCTACTGGAAGATCATTTGGCTTTACATGATTTTAAGATTGCATCATAACCACTCAAGAGGCAGTGTGTCTGATAAAGTGGCCCATGTAGAGAACATACATTTTAATAGTTGCCATTTAACTTTGGACAAGCCATTTAGATTACTTAAGTAAGCCAGGATCTTCCATACAATTGGTTCATTCAGGAAACCTGGTCACTCCTTAGGAGATTAGATATTGGAAGAGCTATAAAAAATTGGCTGCTTTTTAATAAGGAGAGGATGAAAGGATTGAAGGAAAGTTGATAGCGGTCATGTTGGGGCGTGAACCGTTTTAAATACATTTCTGGAGAACCTATAACCTAAGGGAGGAGGAATTGATGAGTTAAAAAAGTAGTATTTAGAAATAGCTTCATTAACTATTTTATTTTCCTAAAAGAAATAAATATACTTGATTCAGTCTTCAAATTAAAGAATGGGGACAATGAGATTTTCATAAATACGTAGTAGAAAATGTATTTCCGTTCTACCTTACGTTCAGACACGTCAGAAAGGGACAAAGAAATGAAGAAAATAGAGATTGCGATCAAGGAAGACAAAATGAAATGTGGAGGGAATGACGGAGGACTGGTTTAGGTTTGCTGCCTTCAAGACCTCTTGCTCTCTCTTATTTTTCCACTGCATCAAAATCTTCTTCCTAGACTGTAGACCCAGTGTGCTGGGTGACTCACAACCCGCATTTTTACCAGCCTTGTTCCTCAAAGATTCAGCCTTCTGGAAGGTACATTTTATCAAATGGCTGATATCTACTACTGCCTTTTGAACATGACAGCTCCCGACAGTAGCAGTAATGACCTCTCTCTTGGGGAGAGTGGGACTAACGCATTGAGCTAGGAGTTCTCAGGAGGGCACGTACTCGGCCTATGTTAAGTTGATTCACCACAGACAATTTTAGATGCTTGTCCTGGGATGGACAGAATTTCATCATGTCCCCCTTTTCTCCCTTTCTTCCTGATAGTCCACTAAAAATAGTAATCATTTTTTTTAATGTGGCCTCTGTGTTTAACAGTATCTTTCATTTATTGGTTGTGTAGGGTGTGTCTACCCAGTGCTTGATGCTTTATATCATATAAATCCTTGCAATGGTTCTATGACATACACAATATGACAGTATTAAAGATCAGGACCCCAAGGTTGTAAGTGTTAAGTAATTTTGCACAAGATCACACTACTAGAGGGGAGCAGAGCTGGGATTCACTGGAACATATTAAGTACACACACACACACACACAAACACACACACACACACACACACACACACACGACTTGAACAAATGATGGAAGTGGTTAAATAAAACCTTTGGGTAAAGAGTAATTTGACCTAGGTGGTGAATTGGAAGGGTTTTAGATGTGGTCTGAATAATTCCTTCTCTGAAGTTAACCACAATAACAGTTCATTTTTGGTTTCTCTGCCAACTGTGACTCCCTGATAACTTCCTTTTCCAGCAGTTGGAATTAAGTGACTGATATAAGGTGACATAAGAGTTAAGAGGAGATTATAGTGTTCCAGTTTACAGTCTGAAAAGTAAATGTTTTCTAGCTCTCTCTCTGAGGGGGCCCTTTTTTTGTGTTTTGGGGAGCTAGTATATGTACGCCATTGTACTTCATGAGAGGGCACAGACTTTGGAGTATTAGGGGAGAATCTGCCTCTGTGTGCCAGTCAATGCCAGATCATTTTAGAAAGTGGAATCCTCATTGAAAGCAAGTATGTGAGTCAAATTTAGGGTCTACTTCAGATTTGCCTCAAATGCTTGTGGTTTGTTTTTAATAATTGTGTGTGTGTTTTGTTTTGTTTTTTCAATTGAAGAAGTTGGTCTGCAGTTGTTGGAAATGGAGGAAAAGGGTAGTTTGCAGCAGAAAAGAATAGGGTTTCCCAAGTGGGATGTTGTGGTCACAGGGGTGCCATTGTTCTAACTGGATACTTTCTTAGGAATGGACCAAATTTTAGCAGCCAGATGTTGAGAAAGAGTTTTGTAGTGTCATTTTGAAGTTGATTTAGCTAAACATGCTAAGGTTCACATAGCGTCTACAGCTTCTGTCCTCTGCTGACAACTTTAACCTGCCTCATGGTGTGTTGTCATGAAGGTGGTGGCATCAGCCACTTTGAGGTGTATGTGTCTGTGCCTCCAAAAATATGAAGTAGCTTTAGAGGGAAAAAGAAAACATGGGAGGTTCTGGTCAGTGGGTGTGTTAATATGCATAAATAGGAACTCCTCTAAATGTTAGAGTTACTTGAGAAATTAAACTGCAGTGTGGTATCAATACCAAGTGCCATTTGTCAGAGAAGCGCAAGGCAGAAATAGCTGAGGCTGTAGCAAAATAATATAATTTATCATTTTTAGGTAACTATCATGTCCCATGCCTGGGAAGTGGTCAGTATTGTACCATTGTTTATGGGAACGTAGAAAGAGAAAGATTGATCTTCTAAGTTATAAATCACTAAATCTTGCCTCAATTCCAGAGGAAGTAATAGAATTCATGAGAGATTAAAGACAAGCTTTTTAGAGAGGACCCAAATCACTGATTATCCTCAGGGGACCCTAGCCAGAATTGGACTGTGGAAGGAGTCCTTACCAATAGTTTCTGTACTTCCACTTTGGGAAATCAGAAATAAATTGGAGGATAATATGGGCATCACTAAATAGATTTGTTAAGATTTCATGAAAACTGTTCTAGGGCAAAAAGGACAAGGACATGGGATGAAGGGATAAAGTTCCGATCTCAGCATTAAATCTAGTTAGCAGGCATGAGGCAAAGGGCATCATAAATAAACAAATAAATAACCAAGTTTTATACAAAAGAAGCTAACAGGACGTCCTTGCCTTGAACAGTAAAAGCAGCCATGGCAGTATGTTCATCATGTACATGGAAGAGCAGAATTACAATGATCAAAAAACCAGGGTAAGATTTTTCTGCTTAAGGGATGCTGGATGCCTGTCTTGGCTTAGAAACCATGGCTCGCTTTCAGGGAAGAGACTCGTCTGGGCCCCACCTATCAGATTTTGTTGAAATTCACTATCAAGTTCAAAATTGCTTTTTCTAAGCAAGCAAAGAAGGGCTGCTGGATCTCAGCTGTCCGTTTCTCTGGCACTTATGGAAAGCCCCGCACATTCACAGCCATGAACGGCACACTGAGGAAGATACAAAAGGAGACAGGATCTCTGCCTCTGTTTCTCATGCTATTTGGTTGGGGAGACAAAACTTAAATACTAGAACCCATCCAAGCAGATTACCAAGCAACCTGCAAGTGACTGTATAATAATATGGGGCAAATGACGCAGATAAATGCAGAGGAGACATAGAGGAAATAAGAGTGAACAAAACACAACAGTGTCGGATTAGTTAGGAAAGACATGTTGCCTAACAGTAGCGGAGACTTCGTGATCCTTTCCGTAGCATCGATGGGGCAGGAAATTCAGACATACAACATTGATCTCTTCCTTCTTATCTGTAGATTCTCTCCGTCTATCCTAGATGGAAGTTAAATTGATCCAACAATTTGCTCTCCACAAAGCCATGTTGGTTTCTCTCTAGTAATGTATGCTTTTCTGGGTGTTTGCAAATCGATTGCTATTATGGGATGCAGACACATCTGGGCCTGGATCCAATAGGTTGGGTGATTATTGGAGTGGATATGTGTGTTGTATGCACATGAAATTCTGGAATAAAGGACTCTCATTTCTGTGTATGTTGGTCATTGAATAAAAATGTTTTCAGGTTTTGAAAAAAGTGTGTCTGATTATACTCAGATTGAATTTTAGGGGATTTATCTGCTTTGTTTGTGTTGCTGCTTAACAGGCCCAACCTTCAAATCACCTTTGTCACTGGACCTTTTGTTTCATGCTAGTCTTGCTCTACCCCAAGCATATTATCGATCTATATACACTGTTTTATTTCCTTTTCCCTTAGAAATACTTATAGACCTTCATGTAGTTTGATAAATAAAATGTTGCTGCTGAAAGGCATGGGAAAGTATACTTTATTTAAACACTTAACTTCATTGTTCTACCTTAAAAAACATTTTCAGTCTTTCTGAGGATTGTGAAATTCTTTCAAAACAAATTATAAAGAAAACATATTCTGTGATTTCTTTACAGATTCTGGACAATCAGGAAGTCCAAGCCACAATGATCCTGCCAAGAATCCTCCAGGTAAATATGTGTTCCAGGACGTTTGCAATCTGACATTGTTGGAGAACAAAGGTACCACTGTATAGATAAACACCCCATAATTGGTCAGCTGCCGATTTTGTTCTGGCAGGCAGGTACGAGGACAAGATGTGATTCTGTGTAGGCCCTTCGCAGTGGCAAATACTTCTAAATTGGCGTCATCCGTATTTACCTAATCACCAACGTTTTAATTTTTTGTTGGTGTTCCTTTGAAAATGAATATGCATGTATTTTAGCTGTGTGTGTTTCAGGTGCTAAAAGTCATTGCTGTGTGAAGAGCCAAAACACCTTTTAATCTTTCTGTTAAAACACACAAGAAAAAGTAAACATTTCCATACTATTATCATAGGGGTTTGTGAGGGTGGTTGGTTATGTGTTCAGTGAAGGATTGTTGCAAACAAGTTTTTATTCCGTAAGGTTTTTTATTGGATGTCCAGGACCAGGGAATAATGAAGGTAGGACTTTTCCTTTAATTTCATGTATGCCAGGTATCCTCTTTATTTTCAGAAGTTTCAGATCTGAAAAATGGGCTTTTTAAACTTGGCTGCCCTCCTGGTTTTGTTGTTCCTAAATCTGAACATATAGCATTTTGATATTGATTTAGGAGGAGTGTCTTTTCACATGAGACAAAGCGAATAGAAAAGTTCTAATATTTCATAAATATCATAAAAATTGGAATTATCTCTGTGACTTTGGTAAAAAGAGTGCTCTAAGAATAAACTAACAAAAACAAAACAAAACAAACAACCAAAAAAATCCAAACTAACCACAAATACCCCTGTCCTCCCCAAATTATCTCATTTGTATTTTCACTGAAAATAAATAAAACAATTTATAAAAAGTAATAATCAGAGTTTCCTCAGGTAGACTTAGTTTTTAAGTCCTTCATTGCTTGCTCTTCCTTGTCATAATGCTTTGCTAATGTGAGGTTGAAATACCTGAAGAACCCCAAAACTACAAGAAAATATTTCTGACCAGTCTTGTTTTAAAATGTTAGAAAAATACAGCAAGTAAATACTCAAGTAAAAATGCAAAGGCAAAACAGAAGATTGTTTTTCTTTGTGAGTCCTGACTATATTTTGTTCCTTATTTTTATCTTAGAAAAATTATTTTTTTCCAACTACATATTAACTTTTCTGTATTGTACAAAATCATAGTGTTTGACAAAAATCATATATACTTCAAAATTAAAAAGTCCTAATTACATACAGATTTTAAAATGTATGCTAAGTTGATTTTTCTTTACTTTCATCAATCATTTAATATTATTGCAAATTGATAAAACATAAAAAACTGAATAATTTTAAATGCAAAATCCAGTTAATTTATTATTTGTGTGTGTGTGTGTGGCTGGGAAATCAAAAGAAAAAAGAAAAACTATTTAGAATATAAAAATTTTGTTAGAAATTTTCTGAAGTTGAGAAAATTTCATTAGCCTATAATGTTTTTAATGTTACTAAAATTTCTTCTTATTTAGTTGACTAATATTTTCTTTGTGTAGTATGATAGCCAAAATCCAAACATTTTTTTAAAAACTCCCTCTCTCATTTTACGAAGTATGGGGGTGGGGGAAACGCTTTAATAGAAAAAGAGTTGATAAGTATTTTAAGTCACACTAAATAAAGGATATATTCTTTGTATTTGAGTGGCAGCTTGATTTGAAATTAATAAAGCTGTTATTGTTTGAAATGCATTTCTGAACATGTACAGAAAGAATTATGCACACTTGAAAATGTTCTCTACTTGAGCCGAATAAATAATCTTTGAATAGTTATGTAAGAATTCGATTTTTCAGTATTTGTTGAGAAGCTTGGTTAATTTTTTTCTTTCGCTATGTTCAGTGTTGCATCACTTAATTCATCTGTTTGCATATAATAATATGGTGGCGAACAGAAACCATCAAGGTAGAATACCTCTAAATTTTTTTGCTTTTAAATTTTTCTTGGAAAGCAAGCCTTTTTGAGAACCATGTCCTAAAACTGGGATGATATAAATAAATGCATAGATGATTAGTTGAGTATTGTATATATACAAATTGTACACCGATTACCAATTTTTCAGTTATAATATAAAACATATATAACACCAAAATTAAATGGAATATAATTAGAATTTTCTTTGATGATTCAGAAACATTCTGTCATTTTAGCATGCTTTCTGTATCATTATATCATGGTCTTAACCATAGAGATTATTAAGGAGTTCTGTTTGATGAAATTAAGAATTCTATAATACCATGAAAAAATCAGACTACTGGGAACATAAAATAGTTTCTAATTTGAAAGGTGAAAACTCAGAATTTACTAAGGTTTTTGTATTACAGTCAATGGGAATAAGTTATACTTATTATTAAAAGTTCTTTTCATAAGTTTAAGTGTGTTTGTATTTTGGAGCATAATTTATCTTTTGGAGACCCTTTTTATTTCTGGCCTTGGTTAAAAATGTGAAATCTCCAAAGTTGAGTTTCAGTATCTGGAGAAGGCACAATTCATTTCCATTTCAGTCTACTACCATGAGCAATGAAACAATCAAATCCCTTTGCTGCTTGTATTGTTATAAGAAAGAGGAGCTAAACTTTTGAAAAATGTCATCCTGATTGCCAATACTTTCTTATCACTGGTAGCTTTCTGTTGGGAGAAGTGCAGCCCGTGGCAATTCCTACCATTTACCCCTGTGTCTGTTTCCTAACAGCTTGGGAAAAGATGGCAAAAATGCAAGTCCCTTTCGAGATAAAGGCTCTTTGAAATCTGTTCCCCACCATTGACATAAAGGTGGACTCCCATCCAGTCATCCTATAAGTGCAGATGTGTTTGTTTCCCCACAAACTGGGCACCTGCCCTGGCTTGGCTTTTCTCCAGCGTCAGACATGGAGACCACTTCCTTGCTGATTGCTCTGAACTTCTGAACTTCTGGAGAGTGACCTTACCACTCTCAAAGCTGTAGTATGGGCGTCTACAGAGATAGGCCTTGCGTTTTTGACTTGTCTTTCTTGATGGGGGTTAGTACTTAGAGAGCAAATTAAGCACAGGCAAACGAAAACGGCACATTTGGAGGAGGAGGGATATTTGATATTTGTTATTTCAAAAAGCACTTAAGTAGTTTTAGTTATTTTAAAAAAGCATTTAAATAGTCTTTATGGTATTTCTTTATACTGTGTATTTGTGATTTACTAGTTTGTTTTTATTCTTTGTTACGTGGTGGGAGCGAGCCCCATAATCTTTTGAGGGCTAAGGTCTAAATGTTTGCTAGCACCCAAGGACATGACATTGGTATTTTGGTCAAGAAGCACTGGACCACTTTACTTTCTTATGATGTGTGTTTCCCTTGTTTATGATAGACTCAGACATTATATGTTTATGTTCCATTACTTCTTTTTGACTATGAAATTAATCTCTTCTAAGCAATAGAGCTATATCCTCTCAACTATAGCAAACAACTGTTGTGGACCAAATGTGGTAAACTGTTCATTTAGGGACTTAGATTCCAATCTGACTTTATTTCTAATAATTAAAAACTCCACTACCACTTTTAGGAAAAGTGTGATTGGACTATAATCATTTATAAATTAGCTGTGACTCACTCTAGTATTTTGTGTCTCTACATTCCTTGGGTTATGCTCTTTTAGGTTTCCCATATCGGTTGTTTGTCTAGTGCTGGAATGGTTAATATCCAAGGAAAACAAGGTGATCGAGAGAGACATCAGATTGTGTGACTAAGTCAGTTCAAAGCTGATACCTCGTTTCAGAGTTCAGGAAGGCTGTACTTTTGTGGGGCGCTCTCACTTGGCTGAAAATATAACAAAGAAGCATTGAATCCTAGGGCAGTTTTTGCAAATTGAATCATGTAAACTTACTAAGTTTTCCAAGTATCATTAACCATCACTTTCTTACTTGGAATGACACGGACTTTTTCTCCTTTGCCTTTTTGCAAGTTTTATAGGGTGCTTGTGCTATTTTGTGTGTTGACTTTTGCATGTAGTCTGGTAAAACCTCTGGGAACCATTAGGATCATATATTGGGTGTACATCAAATAAGCCACCTTATATCCTCTCAGGAACAAAGATGGAACCAAATAAATAATTGAATAAATTAAACAAGGAGTGTTTATTAACTATAGCAATATGCCTGTCTTGCATTTAAGAAATTCTTTAAGTTATAAACATTTGGGGGTTGATCTTTCCCCAACCCTATTTTATAGATATGAGATTGAAGCCAACAGAAGGTTGTCATGAAACTAATGAAAATGAACCACATAATGATCAAGAAAACAAGTTCAGTGTCTGCAGTTTTAGTTGTCATCTGTTGGGATCACTAGGGCCCATATTTGCTTAACTTTTCACTCTTTTTTTTTTAAAGCTTAAATTTGGGACAAACTTAATACAACTCTCTACCAGTTAGAGAAATAACAAAACGTTTTTTTATTTTTTTGCTGTTTGCATACAAAGGCAGATACATTTGCACAGGCCCTTAAAGGACCTCATAGAACATGTTTTATCTTAGAACATGGTGTTCAGTCAAAGAAAAGAGAAAATTTACTGTAATTTTTTTAAAAAACAGAGCCCATTTACTCCTCAGTTAATAAGTTCATACCCAATCCTTTGCGTATCCTTGCTTATTGTATCTACCAGAATCAAGATGTTTTTCATGGGGGGAAATGCACTATTTCATGATACTTAGAAGTAATTTTATACGTTGGCACTAAACAATATGCAACAGACTATAAACAGGCTTTCTGTTCATAAAAGTATAAATAGAAAGACACTAAAAGGATTGGTTAACTGCAGTTAAGACCTGACGTGGTAGGTAAAGCTTTTAAGTAATTCAAGAATGAGGTCTGTGCGAATCGGTGCTAAAATCAAAGGATTTTGTTCCTAACAGATTTTTCCCAAAATTATTTTTTCTTCTTTACCATCTAACTTTTTTGAAGACATCACATTCAATTAAGTTCTTAAATATTCAAATTTACAATAGAATTCAGAGGAG